TTACTCACAATTGATTGGGACACAAATATTTAAATTTGGACCAAATTTGCTTTCGTGGCAAATGTTTTGTAAAACCCAGTATTTGTTATAGAAATAAAATGTTTGTCAAATCTGATGCAAATGCCAAGAATGCTACACTTTTACTCACATTTGATTGGGATAAAAAAATTACATTTGGACCAAATTTGGCTTGGAAACAAATTTGTGTCAATTTTAGTATAATAGATTTGCACAACATTTGCTCAGGTACGCAAATCCATTTTTCTATGCAGTGCTTGTCACTCCCACCTAAACAATAAGTTGGCACAACAAATATGGGAATGGTGTATCCTACATGGGGTCTGGCTAACTGTAGCCCATATACCAGGCAAATCTAACACAGAAGCAGATAGGGAATCAAGGTTATCTAGAAAGGAAACAGAGTGGTGCCTTGATAGATCCATTTACAGTGCTGTCATACAGAAGCTGGAAGTAACACCAGATATTGATCTGTTTGCTTCCAGACTGAACCACCAGCTTAAACCCTACATTGCTTACAGACCTGACCCAGGGGCCTTAGCAGTCAATGCTTTTCACATCTCCTGGAAGAAATACACTTTCTATGCATTTCCATCATTTTGCATTATACAAAGAGTTCTGCAAAAAATAAATAATGAACAAGCAACAGGGATAATTATAGTTCCCAACTGGCCAACCCAAACCTGGTGGCCATATCTCATGTCCATGCTAATTAACTATCCAATAATTCTTCCTAGGAAGACCAGGACACTATTTCTACCAGCACAGCCTCAGGAAATACACCCACTTCACAAGAAGCTAGACATTCTTGCTTGCCACTTGTCGGGAAACTCTTATCTGACCAAGGAATTTCAAAAGAAGCTTCAGAGCTCATCCTTAAGTCATGGAGGACAGGGACACAGAAACAGTATAGAACTTACCTTGAAAGATGGAAATCATTCTGTGCTTCAAGGAAAGTTAATCCCCTTTGTGGTACTATAGTGAATGGAATTGATTTTTTGGTCACACAATATAAACGTGGATTGACATACAGTTCCTTAAACACAGCCAGGTGTGCTCTTTCTACTGTAATACTGCTGCCAATCGGAAACACATTTGGAAATCATCCCTTGGTAATACGGTTCATGAAGGGTGTGTTTGAATCAAGACCAGTTCTACCGAGATATAACAGCATTTGGAATGTTTCCACAGTTCTTGACTTCGTAAAAACACTGCGGCCCAATGAAGAGCTCAGCCTCAAAAATGTTACGTTAAAATGTGTTACTCTCGTTGCTTTGTTGTCTAAACAGGTGCCAAACAATACATGCCCTCAGAATCAGTGGTATGAAGGAGACCAATGGACAGATTTGTTTTGACATTTCTACGTTGCTGAAAACTTCAAAACCTGGGAAACACCAGAAACCCTTGACATTCAAATCCTATACTTATGATAGTCAGTTATGTGTTGTTAAATGCCTACAACAGTATATCAAACAAACATCAGAAGTTCGGAATGGGGCTGACCAGCTATGGCTTAGTTACCAAAAACCCCATAACCCAGCTAGCAAAGATACAGTCAGCAAAAGGTAAAATAATTTCTTAAACAATCTGGAATAGACATATCATATGGGGCGCATAGTACTCGTGCTGCTTCCACTTCAGCTGCAAGCTCATCACCAAACGTTTCACTCCAGACTATCATGAATGCTGCTGGATGGGCCAGGGAAAGTACATTTAGAAAATTTTATGATAAACCAATTGACCCAGAGAGCCAAAATTTTGGAGAGCAACTTTTATTGCATTGTAATAAAACGCAATAAACTAACCTTTTCTAGTTGTTGAAATTATTTGGCTGTTCATTGCCACACTGCTTTAAAGTCTCACGTGACTTCGAGCGACTTAGACCAATGACGAAATAGAATTAGAAAATTAAACGAGGCTTACCTGTAAGGTGAAGTTTGATTGGAATTCTATGAGTCATTGGTCAGGAGCGAAGGAGTCACGTGCCCGCCCTGCATAAACTATGTTGATCTGTAATTCTGAAACCCACCCTATTATTAGGGTGTGGCAATTCACAAGCTGTTTTAAAAACTGAATGTCCTAGTTTCGCACGCTCTATCTCACGTGACTCCTTCGCTCCTGACCAATGACTCATAGAATTCCAATCAAACTTCACCTTACAGGTAAGCCTCGTTTAATTTTCTAATTTTGTAAAACTCTCTAAAAATATACTTGAGATCCATTGATCATTACAATATGAAGAAATAATAACAATATTACAGTAATAATAATAACAATAATAATATTCATAGTCAGAATTTGTTTGATTATTGAAAATATATTGATTTTTACTTTTATCAGAAATTTTATCAGACATATTTGCAAACACATCGTCCACCATTTGATTTTCTTCTTCTTCTAAATCACCTTATTCACTTCTAGCAATTTGCTAACCATATTTAATTCTTTATCCATAGATGCCGATAAAGCATGGAGTGATTGTTACTTTGTTTTATTTACAACAAATGAAGATCTCTGAGGTTGCAATGGATAAGCTGAAAGAGGTCTGCAAGAAGAAGGGTGTTGCAGTTTCTAAAGGAGCAACGAAAAAACAACTTTGCCACAGATTGGGACAAAAGCTCTTTAAAACCGAGGTTGATAGGATCAACTCCATTGATACAATTAAATACAACAACTTAAAATTTATGTCTTTATAACTACATGAATTTTAAATTGTTGTATCTAATGGTATCATACATAGTTCTTAAAGGAGCACTTGGACGAAAACGCCCGAATTTTTGAAAGTCTGGATAATCCAAATATTTGAGGATAATATGACTGAGTTATGATTTTATAAACCAGATCAGCGAAAATTTTAGCTCGGGAGCCACTTGCCGTYRAGAAATTTGGCTTTGAAAACCTACCCRCCATTAATTTYTTAACTCACGGCCAAACATATTTAGGTCAGCGGTAACCCACTGCGTGACGTCATTTACTCAACCATTTAGCTTGGACTTTACTTCAACCATACAATCTCTTTRTGTTTGGTCGATATTTACAAGCTCTTTTCAAGCATTGAAAAATAATATATTGCTCTTTGAATTCAAAATTATCATGGAAGAACCTCCTAGTAGTCAGTTAAATTACTCTGAAGAGTTAGAACCCGKCGCAACTGAAGAGGAAATAGAATCTTACGAGCAGCAAGTTCGAGTGGARCAAGAGGAAGAAGAGATGCTCAGAGACAGATTTTCTGAGGTGAYTGAACTTCGAAATTGGTAAGAAATACGAATATAATTCCTTTCCAACTACTAGGTGAATATACCTGACACACTTTCCTATTGTCTTTAGGTGCTCATGTGGAAGTTGCTCGTTGGTTCTAGCTACAAAACACGAAGAGTGTTTTTGTTGCAAAGACATTGATCGGTGTCGAGAGAAGCTAGAGGAATTCGAGGAAGATCTCGATTGTATAATAGACCATCCGGGCTTTCGGTCGGTATGTTTGGATGAGTGGGTTTTGGAGGCCGCAGCCATAGGTTTGAAGACAAGAAGAGGCCGTAGTTACACAGTCTTGCGACACAGAGGGCTAAAATCCGAAGAACAGTAAGTGTTTTGCTTTCACACAACGTCATAATGTGCATTGTCCACTCAACTTATCATTTGTCATTAAGAGCGTGTCATATTTGTCATAGTTAGCGTGATAACTTAATGTATAGTTCCTGCTGATAATAAAATGTAGATGTAGATGTAGAAGAGAGGATGTCAACAAAAATCGACCATACGCCGGCAACAGCCGAAAAATCGAATTCGTTCATATTTTGGTATTAGGAAGACCTTGAGGCAATATGAACCGTGGTATACTTCATTTGCCGAAATATCGCTTTATTTCCGAGAAAAACGAGAAAAACGAATTCGTGCATAATTGAACCTCTGAGAGAGTCAAAATATACTCCAACTTGGGGGGCCTCGCGTGCCTTTGCAAAAATATCTACAGACTCAATCTTGGGAAATTATTTGGGATAGTGTTTTAACATTAAAAAGATGGAATTTCATGGTGTTCGAATAGATTCATAGTGACGAAAAATATTTATTCACCAGAGTACTTTGACTCCGCGTCAAAAATGAAGAATTTTCAAAAAATAATTTATCCGTGTGCTAAATAAAATAAAACGTTGATATTAAGAAATTGAAAAGCACGGTTTATATTGCCTCAAGGTCTTCCTAATAACAAAATATGAACGAATTCCATTTTTCGGCTGTTGGCTGCAAAATTTGATTTTGGTCGATTTTTGCTGACATCCTCTCTAAGTCTCCCCCCCCCTACCTTTAGATTCTTTCGAGCAGTTGCATCACAGGTAGCCCAAGCTTGGTTTCTGTGGTGTCCTGTTATAAGGAAATGTATGGGGAATCATCAAAAATTTCAATAAAATCATCAAAACGTGAAATAAAGCCTCGAAATTTTACCTAATCATTGAGAAATAGCCCTTCTTTCGCTCTGCGTGGTTATTTTTTGAATTTAGCCCGTTTTAAGGATTTTTTTCCCCACCAGTAAGAAATAAGAGAAGGTTGGAAACTCGGGATCCAAAAGCGAGCCATCACGAGTCTTTGAAACCTCGTACGTCTTCGAATTTTCTTTCCAGCGCCAAATTTTGGTCATGACTCTTTTCTCACATCCCTATAGAACCGAGAAAGTCGCATTAGAGATTAGTCTTCGCGTCTTTAAGCCATGAAATTTGCCTGTATTCACATACTACCACGCTTGTTCTGACMCGTACTTGGAGCTCACTGTACACCAGTTCAACGGATTTCTTTCGGCAACCGACCCGAGGTCACGCCGGAAGTCTTCGTATCGTAAATGCGGATTCGATTTGTATATCGCATTTCTTCGAAATTATAAGTTAAATACTTTTGTATCTTAGGCTGTTAAAAAATACACTCACCATAATTTTCGAAATTATAAGTTAAATACTTTCGTATCTTAGCCCGTTAAAAAATACACTCAACATAATTTTCGAAATCATAAGTTAAATACTTTTGTATCTTAGGCCGTTAAAAAATACACTCACCATAATTTCGAAGAAATACGATATCCAAATCGAATCCGCATTTACGATACGAAGACTTCCGGCGTGACCTCGGGTC